TGTGCTGAAACGTTTCACCTTCAACCCGGAAGGCTTCATCAGTCAAGGAAACACACAACAAAACTGATTCTTCCCCCAACAGCTTACTCCAAAGTGGAACAAACCAGTTCTGCTTGTGATAAGATGGTCTCCTTGGCACCCCCCCCCCCCCTCCATTGCCAGCCCTCTTCTGTCATTTTTAATTGTGAGTTGATATTTTGAGATTGTCTAACAACACTCACTTGGTGTTTTGTAACCCACGTTTGGGTTCAGAACCCAACTAACTGAGATTCAGTATCTTACCTGTTATAGATAGCTCTTTGAAGAGCCTCAAATTAAAGTAAAAAGATTATTTTTGTCTGGTTTATTGAACTAATGACTAGTCCAAGCACGACCAAGTCCAAAGTAGACTCCTGCCATCTCTTAAACAATCCTAACATCAAACATTTTATAAAAGAACATGCAAACATTATTTTATAAATCATTACAACTCTGGAAACATTTAAATTATACAGTAATGTCAGAATTACTGTATAATTTAAATGTTTCCAGAGATGTAATAATTTATAAAATAGTGATTAACTAATATATTTCTCATGGAAGTGCCCCCAGGCTGCACCAGAAGTGCTACAGCTAGCTGCTACGACCGCCTCCAATTTCACTGGCAGCCATTGTAAATAAATACATTTGTATTGCAAAAGTTACATCTACATGAATGTTCACAAAGCAATCCACGCTGGTCTCAGTCTCTTTGGATTAGCCATTAGCTCATCAGTCTGGTCCAGTCTCAACTCTGGTTCTCCAAACTGAGGTTATCATAGAGTTATCTACAACAGGTAAGATGTTAATTGTTTGTTAACTTAGAACCAGTCTACAGTCGTGATCATGAGCTGTTGTTGTTGGTTTTTTTTTATGAATTAAGTTTAGTTTTTCTCATGTTTTGGTTCTTTTTTGTTCATCATTTTTTAAGTTTTCCTTGTTAGTGTTTATTTCCTGTCATGTTTATTTTATGTATTTTCTGTGTGTTCAGTTTGTTTCCTGTGCCTTTCCTGGGACTTTTCAGTTTCTGATCCTCTGTCCTGCCATGCCCGCCTGTTCTCTGTTACCATTAAGAGACCTGTCACTAATCGCCTCATCAACCCCAGTCCTTCACGTCTCCCAGTCTTCACCTCTGATACTGTGCTTCATGTCCAATCCGGTTCTCCTCCGGGTAACTTTGGGTTCTGTTATTTTGTATCCTTAGGCTCTTTCATGAGAATGTTCTGCAAAATAGCTGCACAGCCATTCATAAATCACACATAGAACCGGTCACATCCCGCTCAGATGTGAGTTTTCAAAAACGAAGCGGGCAGAGCGGAACCAAAAGAGGCGTGGAGCAGAACTCAGCAGGGCTGAAATGGAGCGCGACATGTCTCCCTCATGTCATTTACTAAACTTTATAATTAACTCACAATGGTGATTCTCAAGCTATTTTTTAAAACTAGCTACAAAGTTGCCGTTCGTCATCATCGATGTTCCCTCAGTAATATATCTATTTCTTGTTGTTTAATCCTGCGAGCGGTCCCTCACCACCTTGGCGTGTCTCCTGAATGCAGCAAGGCCACCAGAGCACATCTCAGTCCTGGACCGCATCTTGCTAGCGAGCCTTTTTGCTGCCATGTCGGCCTTTTGTTCTGTTGTATTTGTAATAATTAAACCTTTCAGTTTTCATTTGAGCTCCTCGGGTTGGTCTGCACTCGTGGGTCCATCTCTCCTTCAAACTGTGACAATCCCACTCCAGAGGATCTGAACTATCGCTTTATATGCAAAAAGAAACACGTTTCATGTGTAACAGGCCAAGAAGTGAAATAAAATGGAAATCTGGCTGAAACTGGACAGAAAACTTTGAGTCACAGCCTCCTTGCCCAGTAAAGCAACAGTGTGTGTCATGGCATGTGAGAGTGTGTTTATATAAATCTGTTTTCCTGCCTCCCGTTGTGAACATGGGCCGTCAGCTGTCACTTTTCAGCAGCGGTGTGTCTGGATTTAGTGTAAGTCTGTGCAGTGGTATTCCTGTGTGGGGCGGGGGGGTCGTTGCTTTCAGAAGGGTTTCTTACTTAGCAGCATGATATAGTTCCTGTGTGGGTCTAATACCTCCGGCCTCTTTCAGACACACACACATGCACACACTGATGCACTCTGGGCTCAGCTGGAGCCTCTTTTAATGAAGCCAGCCTCCCTGTTCAGACACGGGGGCAGAGGTGAGGGGTTAAGTCCTGGGGAAGTCCAAAAACAAGCCCACTTTAGAAGAGGAGAAGAGGATGGTGAAAAGCGAGGTTAAAGAGGAGGAAGCTAGAGGAGAAAGAGGAAATCCAGTGGTTGGTGAAGCAAGATGAAACCAAATCAGGTATCTTAGAGTAATAAAATATTTAAAAAGTTCATGAGAAGTCCTGGTTGAAGAATAAGTTTGTGTTCAGTCTTCCTCCCTGGTGGTCTGATCGATGAAGAGGTTTCAGAGAGGCCTTCTGCAGAAGAAACTGCTTTTGCACAGTTTTTAATCACAACTGCACACGTTCGCATATCCCATCCATCTATCTGTCTATCATAAATAAAATTTTAACAAAATAAACAATAAAATAATGTGGAAAAAATATATAAAAGCAAAAATGAAAGTCAAATCATTTTTTCTGTATTAAATGTAAATATGTTGGGATAGTATGTAAATTAAAAAACATATCTAGATCTCCAGGTTTCCCCTTTTGTTTTCCTTCTTACTGAACAGCCACACATGTAGTGTTTGCATCAACCGTACAGTAAAAATAGAGCCTTGTAAATCTGCAGCGCTCCGGACACTTATGTATATGTTTATGAATGTATATATGTATGTATGCATGCCGTATTTTTCAGACTCTAAGGTGCAGTAAGCGAAACAAAACCGTCAGATAAGTCAAACTTTATTCAACTTATTCACAATAACCACATAAAATCAGTTCGAGGTCAGTATTCATATATAAGGCGCACCGGATTATAAGGCTCACTGTCGATTTTTGAGAAAATTAAAAGATTTTAAGTGTGCCTTATAGTCCACAAAATATATATATATATAGGTTTAATTATGAATGTACCACCTTGTCCATGTGCATATTGTCTTTTTCAAAATTTGTGTATTCTGCTTCTTTTATTATTTTTATTATTTCATATGTATTTTTTTGTTTGTATGTTTTTCTGTGTAATTAGAACATGCTACTAGCTGCCTCCAATTTCCCCCCTGGGATTCATAAAGTATCTATCTATTAATAAAGTATCTATATGTGTTTTGACAGTGCCATATGGATAGAATGATGAATATTATGAACAAGTTTTTACTTATATTCATACCTGATAAGCTGCTGTAGTAAACGCACTCTGCAAGTTGTGTGTGAGCTCATTTTAAAGGTTTAAGGAGCAGTTTATTTATTTAGTTTTTGTGGTTCAGGAAGTATGACTGCTTTTCAAACCCTCTCTGCTCTGTCAAAACAGAATCAATATACATGTTCGTGTTTGTGTATCCATACTTAGAAGTGTTTCTGTGTAGTGTGTAAAACATAAAACTTAAAAAACAAAAAACAAAAAATCTCTTTTATTAAGCGATATTCCTGGAACAAGCCGGCTGGTCAAAGAGTGTTAAACACACTTAGCTCACATGCATGTGTCAATAAGAAATGTCCTCTGTAAGTTAAATATTTTATTTCTGTATTCCTCGCTGC